GCAGGTACGTTTTCTTAGTTTTTAGTGAAGTGCATCCTTCTACTTTCTAAAATTAAAGGAAAGGTTTGGGCAAGTGATTGGAACTATTTTTGCAGCCTATACTATGTAAAGCTCAAAGCACTTTATTTTTCGTGATGTTGTAATATTCATTTAATGCAAGTAAGAGTTGCATTTTAATCATTTTTTACACTACAAACCTCAAAATTATGGTGAACATCGGCCCCAAATATCGGGTTTAGGTATCCTTGATTACTAATAATTAGTATCAGTATTAAATGAAACCTAGTGGTCTTTGCCAGTGGGCACTGACATTCTGTTGGCGATGGCACAAGTAGACTGAAACAGCAATTAGAAAAATCATATTCATTGTGCAATCAATATGTTCAGTCACTGGCTTCCCAGGTCAAATTACATTTTGTTGATTTTCTAGGTGAAAATATACATCCTCTAGAGAGAACACACCTCTGCACAATTTAATGTACATTTACTGTACATTTGCTCAATTTAACACATTGGAAAAACATAAAACATAAAATATGGCCTGCAAACGTTATTGCACATTTTATGCTTAATTTTTTCCAATATGTCAAACACAGAAGAAAAACAGAAATTGTGCACAAATATTTGCAGCAAATACCATATGTAAGTACTTTGTAGAGGTGTATTAGTAGTAATAATATTTCAGAAAATCATTTTTCCATTTTCTGTAACATTATTAACAAGAAATATAAGTCATTTTGTGGATAACAGTTTGTGTTTGTTTTTGTTCCTTAGGGACAGTGCTTCCCTTGTGCTGATGGTGCGTGCGCTACCATGGGTCACTTTGCTGATGCGTTCCAAGTACCCAGTGGAGTGGAAAACATGTTCTATCTGAACACTGGCAGGCATGAACCCTTCGCATGTAAGTACCTGTGGGTATGCAGGCCTATTCATTAGAAACCTGTTCCAGGCATACCTACATACACCAGCCTGTACTATTTTCTAGATTAAGAAAATTTTTGGATTTCACTTGAATACCCGACATACACGTATTAACATTTACTGGTTTTGCTGGACTAAAAAGACCCTGGTCAATAATTTATGTGATCTCTGGTTTCATAAGCAATATTTGAAACTCCATGTTTTTTCTCTAGGTTATCGCTACAAAGTGTCCGTCACTATCAATGGCACTGAAAGCGCTAAAGGCTACTTCAGTGTGGAACTGTACGATTCCAGTGGAAATACTCACCCGTATCAGATTTACAGGTGTGCACTATACAGTCCATAATTAACAGGTTTTATGAAATGTTTTTCATCACTTTTTTGTGTTAGTTGTATATGTGAAAAAATATGTACATTTCAAAGGTACAGTTTACAATGCTAAAGCCAGTCCTATGGAATTCACTGTCTTTGAGATCATTTTGAAACAGGACAGATAATTAAAGTCATTTCTGATTTGTTTCAGTGGCAGACTGACTCCTGGGAAGACCTACGAACACCTGATCGATGTGGAAGAGGATGTGGGTGATCTGAGTAATGTGACGTTTTCATGGAACAGTTCTTGGCAGAGAGATAGAACCTTCGGTGCCTCTCAGATTACAGTGCAGAGAGGAAGGGACGGGAGAGTGTGAGTTTCTCTGTCTGTCCGTCTCTGGACCGCCACTATGGGGCAGGCATTTCCCTGGTTTGAACTGTAGCAATAAAAAGCACACTAATTTAATGGACATGATTTACAGTTAAAAAGTACACACAGAAAACTAAACAGTAAGTTTTTGCAGCACTGTAACGGTAACACCAGGCTTTGCATGGGGATTTAAAATAAATAAATAAACAAATAAATAATAATACACACAATAAAAAATGAAATCGTAGAACTGGGTAATGGACTCAGCGGAAGTAAAGGGCAACAAACTAAAATCCTTTTCCCCTCTCTTTTTCTCTCTTGCTCTCTCACAGGTTTACTTTCTGTCGAGAGGGTCAGGTGCAGGAGAAAGTCCGCCAGACACTGAAAACCCTGCTAATGAAGATGAAGTTCACATTAGATTATTCATCTTAATAAAAGCATTGATACTAATCTGGCCTTATTTCATCTTTTGACAATGAGCTCTGGTGTCCTGAACTTTCACCTGTCATGATTTCACTGCTGTTATAAACCAGATTTCTCTGCCCGTCAGCTAATGACTGAAAGCAGGATGTTACTTCTGTGCACCCTCAAGGGTCTTTGGAGGCCCCCCACCCCACACTCTGACAATAATGCAAAAATATTTTTTAAAGGACTGAGCTTGTTTATTTAAACTGCGCAAAAAAATCATGTAAACAATTTAGTTTAATTTACCCATTAATTATTGCTGTTGTCGGAAGAAAACCTTGTATCTCCATTTTTGATGTTTTTCAGTTTTTGACATCATTTGAAAATGCCTGTTGCCCTTTACATTGTATGTAAATTTCATGATGAATGGACAAAATGAAACGACCCAAATGACTTGGAAAAAAGTCTGGTTCCATTGACTTACATTAAAAGTAAAGTATGTTTTTTTTTCTTCTCCTGTAAAGTTACCATTTTGGAGATGCAAGGTTTTCTTCCGACAACAGCGTTATTCAAGAGCTTCATCTAATTTTGCACCTGCAGTGGACTGTCCACAGATTAATGCACCTCACTTATATACATACATTGTACAGAGGTGGCAGAAGTACACAAGTGCCTTACTTTAGTAAAAGTCCTATTAATTCAGTAAAAAAATACTTAAGTAAAAGTTGAAGTTTGACTTTTTTACTCAAGTAGAAGCATAAAAGAACATGCTTATAAATGCACTTAGAGTAAAAAAGTAAAAGTACTTCTTTAAAACTCGTCTCTAATTCAATTTTTAAACAGGATATTTTTCTACTGAGAGTTCGATAGGTACACATCCATCAAACTGAGCGTACACAATGGTTAGAACTGCATGCATCATCCACAAAAATCCACACATCTAGAGCACCCAAATATGTTCACATATTTGATTTCCCATACAAGAATTAGAGATGGATATTGCTGGAATCTCTACTGAGAAAAAATATGACCTTTTCTAGTTTTTATTTCAGCAGTTAATACTGAACAAAACATCAAATTTTGTTTGATATTTTATATATATATAAAATTCTCTAAGTGGCCAGGACCGGAGTGGGACTTGTGGAGTTACACACACACACACAAAGCATGGTAATGACCTGCAATGTCATTACATCCAGCCTTATCACTCTACATATTCCAACACTTCCTCTGATACAAAACAGTAGCAACCAATCAGAAAGTGGCTCATACAAACACAACCAACTACCTTCACTTTGAAGCATGTTCACCACAGACAACTTCTACACAGAAAAGATGACAAAACTAGGTTAAATAAGACAGCTGAGATATACAAAGTTAAACCTACAAAGTTGAAGTAGTACAAACTTAAAACTTAATTATTATTAGCCAAAAACACAGGTTACTGCCACAGTGGGCAGACCCAAATGAAGACGACATGAAATTTAAATCAAACACGTGATGCAGCTGATGTGCGAAGACGAGGAAAAACAACGTAGCAGTCTTAAAAACCTAATCATTGTAGAGAAAAGCAAATTGCCATGGCGGGCATGAAACATGTTTATGGTTTATGTATGTCTTACCTGTATTGACTCGATGCACTGGAGCAACGTCCGTACAGACGTCTGAATGTCACTGCTACATCATTTAAGGTGGAACGGGAAATTAAGCTAACTTCAGCTTCATCTAATCTCTATCGACTGTACAAGTCTCAATTACAGTCAGTAAAGCAGGGATGTATCACTTGAGACAGGGGCTGCCTACATCAATACAGATATACATTTGGGTGTAATATTTACAGTTTGAGCGTTCTTGTGCTGTGAGTTTACTCAATAACTCGCAGTAACTGACCCAGTGTCAGCGTGATGACATCTGGTGATGTCAGCAAAGTATGGACGTAGTGGGCAAGAGGCAAAGCTAGGCAGAGGCATGGCCATCCCAGTTATGGAAAGTGAGAGTGAGCCATCATTATTAAAGCTAAATCTAAACGTTATAATGACCATTTCTCAGAGTATTTATTAAATGACACACGAGAAACACACGCTTGTGCTCTTGTTTTTATGTATTAATTTGTATAATTTACAGTGATTCCTCATCAGTGTCAGTGCCAGTACCACTAACCTAACTAGTCTTCAACTCGACATTCTTGCGTCTGTAATGGTGTCTAGTTCTGTCGTTCATCTAGTCAGTAAGGAACGTCATGCCAGAGAACTTGTGGAGAGGAGAATTACTCTGCATTGTCTTCCGGTTTTCTCAAACACTACAGGGCGCCCCCGAGTGAGTCCAAAATGAATGTTTTAATACTGCTTTTAAACTCGAGTTACAAGAGTTTGAAACGGCACCTCATGTATGTTCATAACGTCAGTGAGCGTGAACAGCCAATGAGCGGCTCCGCTCGCCAACCAATCAGCACTCACTAACAGTAATGCCCGCCTCCTGCTGCCCAAAACCCGTTTGCTGTAGAAAAAGGGAAAGTATATAGGTAAGATTTCTTTGCTTTTTTAGTGAAATACGTCCTTCTACTTTCTAAAATTAAAGGAAAGTTCTGGGTGAGTGATTACAAACTATTTCAATTTTTTTGTTTTTAGCCGTTGAGCGCCATTTGCTCCCATTTATTGAGGACTCACTCGCGCCCTCTGCTGTTTAGCAGTCCTGTTTTTGATATAACGGCGGGAATAGGAAGTGGCCAGGCTCCGCATAAACCGGCTGTGGTCATGCCTACTTTCAGAGAATCTGCTTGGGATGCAGACTTTAGCAGATTTTGCTTGTGGAACGGGTGTGACGACATTAACAAAAAACCCTAAATGAGCCCGCATTTTATTACTGTTTATTTTATTTTGATTATTTACTTGTTCTTTGAAATATCATCCTAATTCAAACCCACAGAAATGCTAAAACCGAATCAACAACCAGTTCACTTAAAAGGGAATTTAGAAGCTAAGTCGGCAATACGTTTAATTTCGCGGGAAGTGTTGTTGATCTGTAAGGTCCCACTTGGCTTTCCGTACTTCTCGAATGTATCACGTGATCAAAACAAAGGCATTCTCCCGCGAAAATCGTGTGTGCAAGTTGTAGTGACGGACAGCGAGGGAACATCGCAGAATAACAAAGTTGGCTAATAATGTTCTGCGAAAAGGCAGTCGAGCTTATTCGAGAGCTCCACCGGATGATTGATGGCCAGTTACCTGCTTTTAATGTGTGTATAGCAATCTAATTTCAGCCTAAGTTTGCAGTGCTAACGTCAGCGTTTATCTTAGCTAAGCTAGCTAATCTGCAGACATTAATAAAACGTTAAATAGATAGGAGTTCAGCAAAAGTCAGCTTATGATATGTTATTAGTTAACTATGAGACATGAGTTAGCTTGGCTACATGATTCGTTGTCATATTGTCCTAGCCATTATATGTGTTGGCCCCTGATTCTGTTTCAGGCAGTCTATAATAAGCAGGAACTTTAGCTCTTTTTGTGCTTTCAGGTGGCTTCAATAGCTACGCCGAACAGTAAACACGCAGTGTAAGACAGCTTAGTCTTTTTCTTGCAGTTCCTCGTGTTTTCCACAGTGTTATTATGCTTAAATTGCACGTAAATGTTAGTGTGTAGGACCAGCTCATACGACCAAAGTTGATTTGGATTTCCAGCAGACAGCTAATAAACGGCTTTTGTCTCAATAGGAGGACAGCATTCGACAGGTTCTTGAAGAAATGAAAGCTTTATACGAGCAGAACCAAAGTGACGTGTAAGATATGAGCTTTATTTACTTTCTGCTTCCTTTATTATAACCCATATTTTGTGCAGTTCCAGGTGTGCTGCTATGTTGTGAGCATGTAAGTGTTCCCTCACTATAGCTGAACACAGTATTGACTATGAAATTGAATTTCTTGTGATCTCCTTAAAAGGAGTGAAGCGAAGACTGAGGGCAAGAGTGAACTGATACCAACCATCAAGTTTCGTCACTGCTGTTTGCTGAGGAACCAGCGCTGTATTACAGCCTACCTGTAAGTATTCTACATCCTCTTTGTTTACCTGCACACAAGAACAGACTGTACTGTCGCCAGAGTATGATTTTCCTCCTACCTGTCTGTTCTGCTTCCACAGCTATGACCGCCTCCTTCGAATCCGTGCTCTCCGATGGGAGTATGGAAGTGTGTTGCCCACAACAATTCGGTTCCACATGTGTGCAGAAGAGGTGCGATTGATTTTTATTGCTAATGCCAAGTTGTTAAATTTTTCCTTGGAAATGTAATAACTGTTAATTAACTGTGCAGTTGGAGTGGTTCAATCAGTACAAGAAGTCCTTGGCCACCTATATGAGGTCACTCGGAGGGGAAGAAGGGTTGGACATAACACAAGATATGAAGCCTCCTAAGAGCTTATATATTGAGGTGAGAGGAATGGCTTCATTAGTCATAGAAGATGAAGCTCCAATAGCAGAAATATTTGAGTTCCTGTCTGAGTTGATTACTGCACTACAGTAAGTGTTGTTCCTCTCACTTGCATTTCTCTCCTCAGGTACGCTGTTTGAAAGACCATGGGGAATTTGAAATAGATGACGGTACAGTTATACTCTTGAAGAAGAATAGTCAGGTATAAGGACTTATACTAGTACATTTTATTAATAACATGCTTTCCTGCCTGTCATTTGTTAGCCAATATATTTACACCCAACTCTTGTCTTCACAGCATTTTCTGCCCCGATGGAAATGTGAGCAGTTGATTCGACAGGGAGTCCTGGAGCATGTCATTTCTTGACTCGGATGGGCTGTCTTTGGTTACTTATGTCAGTTCAAATTAGCAGTTATCTTTAAGTATTGACATACTCCTAATCAATGAACACATCTATGCATTTAAATTTAAGAAAAGACCATTTTTATACCATGTGGATTTTACTGTCAAACTGCATACAGTGATTACACAATGAAAATCTACATCTCACTGTTGACATCTTAACAGGTCTTTTTTTTTTCCTTTTTGTTGCTAAAAACAGTGAAGAGAAATAAAATTACAAGTTCTGCAAGACAGTCAATGCTTAATAACTTAGGAACATCAAAGTAGACTGTACACTAGTGCATCATGATAAAAATGTGCAAAGTTAAGGATAGCATGTGTATCAAAACTGTACATTTGATGAATACTGTGCTTTTGGTTGATACCTCTAAACAATCAAACATTTAGTCTTTTAAAACTCTTCTTGATTTGTCAGGAATATTTACCACCGTAAGTCAACAACATTTATCACAAGTTACTAAAGCATAAAAAGTAAAAATCACTATCTAGGACAAAACTGTTGCCCCTTTACAATTTGAACTTGACCCCAAAAGATATTGTGTATATTCCATACCATACACATCCATGTTTGTCTCAGAAGAGACATAATAAAACTATGGCCTTTTACTAACTGTCACATTATTGAAAATAGTGAACTAGAGTCTTTCATGCAAAATACCCTGACATCATTACAGTTGTGATTTTAGAGTAGTGACTTGCATTAATTGTGCTTTTAGGTTTCACACTAGGAATTTAAACTACCTTACTGTGGATAAAGTTCTCCTTCTTGAACTAAGCATACATGTTCTAAGAAATCATACCGTACTCCTGGTATTTCACAGTTCAGTACCGTTAAGGGGGGTATTTTTTTCCCCCTCCCCAAATGACTACGCGGAAAGGGAGGCAGGGGCAATTTTGCGCAGGAGTTTGTTGAGAGCAGCCACCTTCTCTTCCAAGAGAAAAGATTTCTTCTCTGCGCTTTTCTGCCTCTGCTCTGTTACCTGCAGAGCCTTCATGAGTTGAGAGTTTTCAACATAGAGGTCCTTCAGCAGCAGATCTGACTTGGCATTCTTAGCCAGCTGAGGGAGGAAAGGAACACAGACATTTCTCAGAATTGTTGGCAATTTATCTTCCATCATGACAAGCAGTGTAGTGTTAACATAATTCTCATAGCCTACCTGTTCCTTTAACTGATTGACCTTCTCCTGTAGCATCAGACGCACACTCTTTAGCTTGGCTTCCACCTCCTCCATCCGCTCCTGCATGTTCTCCATCACTTTCTCATACTGTTCCTGTTAAAAATGAAATTTTTTCAGTTATAAGTTGTTTCAAGTGATTTCCTAAAGTCATAATCTTATACTTTCTAGTTCATTGAGCCCATCTCTGCCTCACTGCTCCCCAAATAAGTTCTCAAAATTTATTTATTTTTTTTGAAAACCTAAACATGACTCCAGTTTATCTATAATTTATGTAGATGTACAGGTACATAAATAATAAGAATAATAATAAACCATGTGGTCACTGTGCATGGTGCAAGAAACAGTACAGTAAGTCTACAATATTTAACATTGTAAATGGAAATATGTAGAGTAGGATACAGTTTATGGTTATGCAGTTTAGTTTGATTATATGCTGTGTTCATGTTGAATGTACCATAGTGAACAATGTTCAGACTCACTGTTTTTCACTACTGCAGTACATAAACACACTTTCTGAACGCCCATAGCCCATTTCAAGATGTTACGTAATACAAGTTATGGAGACCTTCATAGAATTAGAAAAGGTATCTGACTGAAGTTATTTTCATTAATTAAACTTTGTACTGCAGTACAAAGTTTTCCAGAACATTCAATGGGGCCTTTAAAAAAACATTACAAGGATCTAGATTTATCTTTACTTGCTATTTGCACTTGATCCCTGATCTCTGATATGCTTTGCATTCATTAATTACAACTACAAGCTGATGACTTGATGGTCTTTTCACAATGTCCACAAATAGAAGCTAGAATTCTGGGTTTTTCAATTAAAGCTCTGAGTATCCACTAAAATAACAATTCAGAAAGAACATTTTCTTTCAAAGTGACATTATTCAGCAAATACACAATTTTGCTTCAAGGAAACCATGCCTGGGATAGTACAGCTGATTTACCTGCTGAAGGCTCAGCTGAGTGCTGGCCTGCTGTGCCCGAGACCGAAGCTGCTCTTCCAGCTGCTGAGTTCGGCTCTGCTGCTCAGCCAGCTGGGCTTGCAGGTGAACCAGCTGCTCTCGGGTGCCGATGTTTACCTGCTCCCGAAGCTGCTGCACCTCACGCACATGCTGAGCCTGGCTCAGTGACAGATCAGTGTTTGCCCTTAAAGCCTACACACATACACACACACACAAAATTAAATATGCTGAAAAATATTTTTCAGACAACTACCAGAAACATTAAAGAAACGGCATATTTCGTACCTGTTCTTCTGCCCTGTGTTTGGCAGTCTCCAGCTCTGCTTGTTTATTCTTTAAGGTGAGGAATTCATGTTGTACCCTCTGAAGGTCCAGCTCTTGCATCTGCAGCTTAGATTCTGAGACTGCCACCTACAAATAAATGAAACAAACCCAAATTCACATTACATGACCTTCATAGACTGCGAATTCAGCCATTTCCTAATTATGTAAATCAGTGCAGTTTTGTGTGGTATAATACTGTACAAAAATCTAAACAAAGGAATTTATATTTCATGTTTAATTACAGAAATAATGATTTTGAAGACTTTGTATCAAGGCACAGATTTAGAGTGTCTGTGAGCCTGTCTAGATTTTAAAAAGGGCCAGACAAATTTTGTCAACAATACAGATACTGATCCTAAGAATTTTCAAGTTAGATAAACTATAATAAGCTAATATCATTTAAAGTGGTCAAAAAATAAAACCGACTCTAATAGCTTGTCAACTGTAAATTGTCAGTTATCATTTTTAAACAGCAGAAACTCACAAAGTCTTAAATAGGGCAAATATTGAAACAATGGAGGTTATTTCATCAACTAACCAATATATTTGTTGGGGCCTAGCTTTAAGAGTCCTTCCTGACTAACCTTGTCCAGAAGCTCTTGGTTGTGTACATGCACAGTCCTCAACTCTTCCTGCACAGAACTTGCTGCTGCCTCTTCTTGCATCCTGTGAATCTCCTGAAGCTGTTCCTTCTCTTTATGAAGCTCACGCATACTGGCTTCAAGTTGCAGAACCTATTGAACAGCAGTATTGAAACATGAATGCAGGGTACATTATTTTGGTTCTGAAAGTGAGTAATACAGTAACAAACCAGATTTATTTTAAAAGGAACCTTTTCTTGAGATTCTTTCAGCAGAATGTGCTGTGCAGATATCTCCTGGATGTGAGCCTCCTTTTCCTTGTTCATTGAATAGAGCTGGGAGTGAAGCTGTGCTGTCTGGGTTTCAAGAGTGTCAATACGCTCCTGAAGTCTTCCAAGCTGCAATATGTATATGGTTTGCTTAGTACAAAACATGAGCAAATGCTTTTGGAGAACATGTATTTCTTGTCAAAGCTTCTCACCTCTTTGTTTCTTTCCTCTCCTCCCTTTAACAGCCCATCCTTGTCCTGCTGCAGAGACTGGTTTTTCAGCGTTAAGCTGGTCAGCGCAGACTCTACCTCTGTCAAATAGAGGAGCTGCCAAAACAAAACATTTTAAAGGGGGGGGGACTTCAGATTGACCATGAAGTTGCCTTATATTTTAAAGTAAAAATGTTCCATTTAAACAGCAATAAATTAAAAGGGATAGAATCTAAAATACAAAAACATGAATAATATACTACACCTTGTCCTTTGCTGCTTTTAGCTCCCTTTCTAGGTGTTCCTTTTCTTCTTGCTTGCTGACCTGCATCTGAAGTTTCTCTCTCTCTAGCTGGCTCAGTGTGTCCTGCAGCTGTTTGATGGAAACAGCTGCCTCTTCCTGCTCTTGAGACACCTGTGCAAGCCTTTCAGTCAACATTTGCGCTGCTCCTTGGTCAGAACGGAGGCGAGAATTTAACTCTGCATTCTCATTGCTCAGCTGCAGGTTTCGCGTGCTCAGGTCCAGAACCTCCTCTCGACACTTTGAGTTCTGTTTTGTATTTTTTAATGAGAGATGATTTTATTGGGACTAGAAATGACATGCAAAAAATTTGGTCAAGCATTTATTTGAGAAATTATCTTGCCTCTTTGTGTAACCTCTCCACATCCTCACGAACTGTTGTATATTCCCTCTCCATCTCCTCAAGTTTCTTTCTGTAAGGATAAATTATGAACCAACTATTAAAATGAGTAAATTAAGAATTATTTTCATTAAACTCAAGGCTACTCAGATATGTAATTATTTGACAGGTAATCTGTGTGATTTTGGCTGATTCAAAATTTTCTTAGCGCCTACATTTTTAGAATTTTCGCATGTACAGCCTATTAAAAATTCACTTCAGCTTATTATTATGAAGAAATAAAAGATTAGCCTAGGACAGCCATAATTTTATTGAATAAAAGAATTTTCCTTGTTTGTTTGTTTGTCCCCATAGATTGACAGATTTACTGCCAGTTATTTGTAATACTTTAAAATTAATGGAAATTTAAATATAAAACTGAATTTTATTATTATTAATTATTATTAATTTGTCTGTTTAAATATTTATTAGTTTCTGATCACTTTCACTCAAAGTTGAAGATAAACTGGACTGCACATAGTCTTGCTTTTTGGAACATGACCCCCTGTTCCCTCACTCCAGCCCCTCCTCTGCCCTCCAAGACATAAACAAACACACATGCTCAGACCACACGTGCTGAAGCTTGTCAGTGTCAGTCATTGGGTTGATTCATGATTGCTGACTGCGTAATGCAGTACAGAATCAAAGAAAGTATGCTAATAAACATAAAAATAGAAATAAATAACCGTAGTGAAATTAAGATGTAGAGTATGTTTAGGCACAGATAGAGGGTCCCTTTGTTTTTCTGAATGCTTTGGGGAACTGTGCTCTGGATCACTCTCTATACTCGCTCACAGACACGAGGAGAAGGGCCAGATCAAACACATGCAAGGTGTGATGTTTATAGAGAATGAAAACATATCAGGATAGAGTGGATTTTGTGTTTTCAAGTGGGAAAAGTTGCTGATGCTTTGTTGCTCCTCGATAAATCCACTACAGTTATTACTGTGATATGTATATCATGTCTGTTTACCTTGTAAAATACCCACAAAATGCAGACTTTTAGTTCTAAAAGTTAATAGAT